CTGACCTCTAGACTACACAGAGGTAATACAGACAGAACTGACCACCACACTACACAGAGGTAATACAGACAGAACTGACCACCAGACTACACAGAGGTAATACAGTCCGAACTGACCACCAGACTACACAGAGGTAATACAGACAGAACTGACCACCAGACTACACAGAGGTAATACAGACAGAACTGACCACCAGACTACACAGAGGTAATACAGACAGAACTGACCACCAGACTACACAGAGGTAATACAGACAGAACTGACCTCTAGACTACACAGAGGTAATACAGACAGAACTGACCACCAGACTACACAGAGGTAATACAGACAGAACTGACCACCACACTACACAGAGGTAATACAGACAGAACTGACCTCTAGACTACACAGAGGTAATACAGACAGAACTGACCACCAGACTACACAGAGGTAATACAGACAGAACTGACCACCACACTACACAGAGGTAATACAGACAGAACTGACCACCAGACTACACAGAGGTAATACAGACAGAACTGACCTCCAGACTACACAGAGGTAATACAGACAGAACTGACCACCACACTACACAGAGGTAATACAGACAGAACTGACCTCCAGACTACACAGAGGTAATACAGACAGAACTGACCTCCACACTACACAGAGGTAATACAGACAGAACTGACCACCAGACTACACAGAGGTAATACAGACAGAACTGACCTCCAGACTACACAGAGGTAATACAGACAGAACTGACCTCTAGACTACACAGAGGTAATACAGACAGAACTGACCACCACACTACACAGAGGTAATACAGACAGAACTGACCACCAGACTACACAGAGGTAATACAGTCCGAACTGACCACCAGACTACACAGAGGTAATACAGACAGAACTGACCACCAGACTACACAGAGGTAATACAGACAGAACTGACCACCAGACTACACAGAGGTAATACAGACAGAACTGACCACCAGACTACACAGAGGTAATACAGACAGAACTGACCTCTAGACTACACAGAGGTAATACAGACAGAACTGACCACCAGACTACACAGAGGTAATACAGACAGAACTGACCACCACACTACACAGAGGTAATACAGACAGAACTGACCACCAGACTACACAGAGGTAATACAGACAGAACTGACCTCCAGACTACACAGAGGTAATACAGACAGAACTGACCACCACACTACACAGAGGTAATACAGACAGAACTGACCTCCAGACTACACAGAGGTAATACAGACAGAACTGACCTCCACACTACACAGAGGTAATACAGACAGAACTGACCTCCACACTACACAGAGGTAATACAGACAGAACTGACCACCAGACTACACAGAGGTAATACAGACAGAACTGACCACCAGACTACACAGAACTTATTTTGTACATAATGTTGATGCTACCGTCTCTTATGACTGAAAAGAGCTTCTGGACATCAGAACAGCGATTACTCACCTTGAACTGGACAAAGATTTTTTCTTTAATGAGTCGGACGCGAAGGATATAACGTTGCTCCCAGACAAGGCCCAAATCCCTGTCATTCGCATGAAGAAAATACAGGGGGTGGTGATCAGGGTGCCTGGTGAGAATTCGTTGGTGAGTGGGTAACCCGCCTTTACCATCAGTTTTATTAGCCAACGTGCAATCACTGGAGAATAAACTGGATGGGCTCCGTTCGAGACTATCCTACCAACGGGACATTAAAAACAAATATCTTATGTTTAACTGAGTCGAGGCTGAACGACGACACGGATAATGTACAGTTGGCTGGGTTTTCCGTGCATCGGCAGGACAGAACCGCTACGTCCAGTAAGACGAGGGGTGGGGGTGTGTGTCTATTTGTCAATAACAACTGGTGCGCGATGTCAAATATTAAAGAAGTCTCGAGGTATTGCTCGCCTGAGGTAGAGTATCTCATGATAAGATGTAGACCACACTATCTACCAAGAGAGTTTATCTATATATATCTATTTACCACCACAAACCGATGCTGGCACTAAGACCGCACTCAACGAGCTGGGTTCGTTTCCCACGGGGGGCCAGTATGAAAATGTATGCACTCACCAACTGTAAGTCGCTCTGGATAAGAGCGTCTGCTAAATGACTAAAATGTAAATGTATAAGGCCATAGGCGAACAAGAAAATGCTCACCCAGAAGCGGCGCTCCTAGTGGCCGGGGACTTTAATGCAAGCAAACTAAAATCAGTTTTACCTCATTTCTACCAGCACGTCACATGTGCAACCAGAGGGGAAAAACTCTAGACCACATTTCCTCCACACACAGAGACGCATACAAAGCTCCCCCTCGCCCTCCATTTGGCAAATCTGACCATAATTGTATCCTGATTCCTGCTTACAAGCAAAAACTAAAAGCAGGAAGTACCAGTGACTCGCTCAATACGGAAGTGGTCAGATGACGCGGATGCTACGCTACAGGGCTGTTTTGCTAGCACAAACTGGAATATGTTCCGGGATTCATCCAATGGCATTGAGGAGTTATACCACCTCAGTCACCGGCTTCATCAATAAATGCACTGACGACGTCGTCGTCCCCACAGTGACCGTACGTACATATCCCAACCAGAAGCCATGGATTACAGGCAACATCTGCACTGAGCTAAAGGCTAGAGCTGCCGCTTTCAAGGAGCGGGACACAAATCCGGACGCTAAAGTGAAATCCCGCTATGCCCTCCGACGAACCATCAAACAGGCAAAGAGTCAATACAGGACTAAGATTGAATCGTACTACACCGGCTCTGACGCTCGTCGGATGTGGCAGGGCTTGCAAGCTATTACGGACTACAAAGGTAAAACCAGCAGCGAGCTGCCCAGTGACGCGAGCCTACTAGATGGACTAAATGCCTTTTATGCTCGCTTCGAGGCAAGCAACACTGAAGCATGCATGAGAGCACCAGCTGTTCCGGACGACTGTGTGATAACGCTCTCCGTAGCCGATGTGAGTAAAACCTTTAAACAGGTCAACATTCACAAGGCCGCGGGGCCAGACGGATTACCAGGACGTGTACTCAGAGCATGCGCGGACCAACTGGCAAGTGTCTTCACTGACATTTTCAACCTCTCCCTGACCGAGTCTGTAATACCTACATGTTTCAAGCAGACCACCATAGTACCTGTGCCCAAGAACACCAAGGTAACCTGCCTAAATGACTACCGACCCGTAGCACTCACTTCTGTAGCCATGAAGTGCTTTGAAAGGCTGGTCATGGCTCACATCAACACCATCATTCCGGAAATCCTAGACCCACTCCAATTTGCATACCGCCCAAACAGATCCACAGATGACGCAATCTCAATCGCACACCACACTTCCCTTTCCCACAAAAGGAACACCTATGTGAGAATGCTGTTCATTGACTACAGCTCAGCGTTCAACACCATAGTGCCCACAAAGCTCATCACTAAGCTAAGGACCCTGGGACTAAACACCTCCCTCTGCAACTGGATCCTGGACTTCCTGACGGGCCACCTCCAGGTGGTAAGGGTAGGTAACAACACATCTGCCACACTGATCCTCAACACGGGCGCCCCTCAGGGGTGCGTGCTTAGTCCCCTCCTGTACTCCCTGTTCACCCACGACTGTGTGATGACAACGATGAGCAAGCCTATAGGGAGGAGGTCAAAGACCTGGCAGTGTGGTGCCAGGACAACAACCTCTCCCACAACGTGAGCAAGACAAAGGAGATGATCGTGGACTACAGGAAAAGGAGGGCCAAACACGCCCCCATTCATATCGACGGGGCTGTAGTGGAGTGGGTCGAGGGTTTCAAGTTCCTTGATGTCCACATCACCAACAAACTATCATGGTCCAAACACACCAAGACAGTCGATGAGGGCACAACAACACATCTTCCCCCTTAGGAGACTGAAAATATTTGGCATGGGTCCCCAGATTCTCAAAAAGTTCTACAGCTGCACCATTGAGAGCATCCTTTCTGGTTGCATCACCGCCTGGTATAGCAACTGCTCGGCATCCGAACGTAAGGCGCTACAGAGGGTAGTGCGTACCGCCCAGTACATCACTGGGGCCAAGCTTCCTGCCATCCAGGACCTCTATACCAGGCGGTGTCAGAGGAAGGCCCCAAAAATTGGCAGACTCCAGTCACCCAAGTCATAGACTGTTCTCTCTGCTACCGCATGGCAAGCGGTACCGGAGTGCCAAGTCTAGGTCCAAAAGTCTCCTTAACAGCTTCTACCCCCAAGCCATAAAACTGCTGATCACTTAATCAAATGGCCACCCCCCCCCCTCCATTTGTTTTTACACTGCTGCTACCCACTGTCTATTATCTATGTATAGTCACTTTACCCCTACCTACATGTACAAATTACCTCGACTAACCTGTACCCCCGCACATTGACTCGGTACCGGTACCCCCTGTATATAGCCTCGTTATTGTTATTTTGTGTAATTTCTTGTAAAACTTGTTTTATTTTAGTTTATTTTGTAAATATTTTCTTAACTATATTTTTCTTAAAACTGCATTGTTGGTTAAGGGCTTGTAAGTAAGCATTTCACGGTAAGGTCTACACCTGTTGTATTCGGCACATGTGACAAATAACATTTGATTTGAAGAACTGACCACCAGACTACATCGGTTCAGAGATAGTACAGGAGGAGTTTCACACACACCCCACACCACCAGCCCCCCCACCCACCCCCCACACTACCCCCCCCCGCCCCCACACCACCCCCCCACCCACACCACACCTCCACCACACTACCCCCCCCCACCCACACCACACCTCCACCACACTACCCCCCCCACCCACACCACACCTCCACCCACACCACCTCCCCACACCATCCTCCCCACACCACCCCCTCCTCAGTAGTCATTGAGAATATAAACAACAAATACTGCATATAGTTATTGTTTTAAATCTAAATCAACCAGCATATTTGTATTGTATTTTAGCGTAAACATGTTGTGATGAAAGGAGACTTACGTCTGGGCCTCCGGCACATTTTGTACAAGCAGCAGCAGGGACACACGCAGCAACAGATGAAAATAATCATGATGATGACAGCTGCTGCTACGAACGATGAGATGGTTAACGTGCTTACATAGCCACTGAAACAGAGAGAAACATCAGTCAGTCAGCATTGCAGCAGTCAGAGAGAGAGAAACAGTCAGTCAGTCAGCATTGCAGCAGTCAGAGAGAGAGAAACAGTCAGTCAGCATTGCAGCAGTCAGAGAGAGAGAAACAGTCAGTCAGCATTGCAGCGGTCAGAGAGAGAGAAACAGTCAGTCAGCATTGCAGCGGTCAGAGAGAGAGAAACATCAGTCAGTCAGCATTGCAGCAGTCAGACAGAGAAACAGTCAGTCAGCATTGCAGCGGTCAGAGAGAGAGAAACAGTCAGTCAGCATTGCAGCGGTCAGACAGAGAAACAGTCAGTCAGTCTTGCAGCGGTCAGACAGAGAAACAGTCAGTCAGTCAGCATTGCAGCAGTCAGAGAGAGAGAAACAGTCAGTCAGCATTGCAGCGGTCAGACAGAGAAACAGTCAGTCAGTCAGCATTGCTGCGGTCAGACAGAGAAACAGTCAGTCAGTCAGCATTGCAGCGGTCAGACAGAGAAACAGTCAGTCAGCATTGCAGCGGTCAGAGAGAGAAACAGTCAGTCAGCATTGCAGCAGTCAGAGAGAGAGAAACAGTCAGTCAGCATTGCAGCGGTCAGAGAGAGAGAAACAGTCAGTCAGCATTGCAGCGGTCAGAGAGAGAAACAGTCAGTCAGCATTGCAGCAGTCAGAGAGAGAGAAACAGTCAGTCAGCATTGCAGCGGTCAGACAGAGAAACAGTCAGTCAGCATTGCAGCGGTCAGACAGAGAAACAGTCAGTCAGCATTGCAGCAGTCAGAGAGAGAGAAACAGTCAGTCAGCATTGCAGCGGTCAGACAGAGAAACAGTCAGTCAAACATACATCAGTCTAATACTGAACTAACAAAGCCAGATCGTAAAATACTTCTGAATTGTTTTGTACTGTTGCATTAAGCATTGTGTCCTATAGCATGTTAGCCCTGTGCAGCCAAAGACAGAGGCCAGAGGGCTATACTACGAAGCAGGATCAAGGAGTTAGCCATCTAACTTCTCTAAATATTCGGAAATAACATTTTATTTTTTAGTAAGATAAACTTGAAATGGGCATGGTCTAATTGACTCAACAACCAAAAGCACATACAGTGCTATGAAAAATTATTTGCCCCCTTTCTAATTTTCTCTACTTTTGCATATTTGTGATACTGAATGTTATCAGATCTTCAACCAAAACCTAATATTAGATAAAGGGAACATAAGTGAACAAATAACACAACAATTACATATTTATTTCATAAACAAAGTTATGCAACACCCAATTCCCCTGTGTGAAAAAGTAATTTCCCCCTGATGCACACTCAATAACTGGTTGTGCCACCTTTAGCTGCAATGACTCCAACCAAATGCTTCCTGTGGTTGTTGATCAGTCTCTCACGTCGCTGTGGAGGAATTTTGGCCCACTCTTCCATGCAGAACTGCTTTAACTCAGTGACGTGTGGGTTTTTTGACTAGGCCATTCCATAAATTCAAATTTGTTGCTTTTTAACAATTTTCATGTAGACTTGATTGTGTGTTTTGGATCATTGTCTTGCTGCATGACCCAGCTGCGCTTCAGCTTCAGCTCACAGACGGATGGTCTGACATTCTCCTGTAGAATTCTCTGATACAGAGCAGAATTCAGGGTTCCTTCTATTAAGGCAAGTCGTCCAGGTCCTGAGGCAGCAAAGCATCCCCAAACCATCACACCACCACCACCATGCTTGACCTTTGGTATGATGTTCTTACTGTGGAAGGCAGAGTTTGGTTTTCGCCAGGCATTACTGGAACCATGTCGTCCAAAAAGTTGACTCAAGTTTGCCAAAAAGCATCTGGATGATCATCAAGACTCTTGGAAGAACGTTCTATGGACAGATGATTCAAAAGTATAACTTTTTGGACGACATGGTTCCAGTAATGCCTGGCGAAAACCAAACTCTGCCTTCCACAGTAAGAACATCATACCAAAGGTCAAGCATGGTGGTGGTGGTGTGATGGTTTGGGGATGCTTTGCTGCCTCAGGACCTGGACGACTTGCCTTAATAGAAGGAACCATGAATTCTGCTCTGTATCAGAGAATTCTACAGGAGAATGTCAGACCATCCGTCTGTGAGCTGAAGCTGAAGCGCAGCTGGGTCATGCAGCAAGACAATGATCCAAAACACACAATCAAGTCTACATGAAAATTGTTAAAAAGCAACAAATTTGAATTTATGGAATGGCCTAGTCAAAAAACCCACACGTCACTGAGTTAAAGCAGTTCTGCATGGAAGAGTGGGCCAAAATTCCTCCACAGCGACGTGAGAGACTGATCAACAACCACAGGAAGCATTTGGTTGGAGTCATTGCAGCTAAAGGTGGCACAACCAGTTATTGAGTGTGAGGGGGCAATTACTTTTTCACACAGGGGAATTGGGTGTTGCATAACTTTGTTTATGAAATAAATATGTAATTGTTGTGTTATTTGTTCACTTATGTTCCCTTTATCTAAAATTAGGTTTTGGTTGAAGATCTGATAACATTCAGTATCACAAATATGCAAAAGTAGAGAAAATTAGAAAGGGGGCAAATACTTTTTCATAGCACTGTATGTTTAGCTTTCTAAATGAATCAGACAAATCAACAGTTATTTCTGGTTGTTTATCAAAGTTAGCTAGCTAATTAATTGATCCTGTTTTGGATACGCCTCCGGTAGAAGTTGGTGTCGATGCTGAAACTCATCTGTGGGGTTGATATAATAATGATATATAATATACCATTTAGCAGACGCTTTTATCCAAAGCGACTTACAGTCATGCGTGCATACATTTTTTGTGTATGGGTGGTCCCGGGGATCGAACCCACTACCTTGGCGTTACAAGCGCCGTGCTCTACCAGCTGAGCTACAGAGGACCATGAGGGTGGTCTACTCTGCATTCGCTCCTGTTCTACTGGGGTGGTGACAGAGCCTGTTCTACTGGGGTGGTGACAGAGCCTGTTCTACTGGGGTGGTGACAGAGCCTGTTCTACTGGGGTGGTGACAGACCCTGTTCTACTGGGGTGGTGACAGAGCCTGTTCTACTGGGGTGGTGACAGAGCCTGTTCTACTGGGGTGGTGACAGAGCCTGTTCTACTGGGGTGGTGACAGAGCCGGTTCTACTGGGGTGGTGACAGAGCCGGTTCTACTGGGGTGGTGACAGAGCCGGTTCTACTGGGGTGGTGACAGAGCCTGTTCTACTGGGGTGGTGACAGAGCCGGTTCTACTGGGGTGGTGACAGAGCCTGTTCTACTGGGGTGGTGACAGAGCCTGTTCTACTGGGGTGGTGACAGAGCCTGTTCTACTGGGGTGGTGACAGAGCCTGTTCTACTGGGGTGGTGACAGAGCCGGTTCTACTGGAGTGGTGACAGAGCCTGTTCTACTGGGGTGGTGACAGAGCCTGTTCTACTGGGGTGGTGACAGATCCTGTTCTACTGGGGTGGTGACAGAGCCTGTTCTACTGGGGTGGTGACAGAGCCTGTTCATGTATTACAAGGACGGATGCTTGTGCAAAGTTTCATTGCACTGATCTGAAGTGAGCTTGGTGTGAAAGAGGAAGTGAGAGAGGCTGTTGTTGACATCTTCGTAACAAAAAAATTGTATAGTGGTTATCCCACTGGCTATAAGGTGAATGCACCTATTTGTAAGTCACTCTGGATAAGAGCGTCTGCTAAATGACGTAAATGTAAATGTGTATCATAACCGAGCTAACGTGTTGTCGGCTCGGCTGAAGGATCAGCCTTAGTGCAATAAAGATATGTTCTTCAGGTCTCAGGCAAGGTTAGCAATCATCACACAAGCACAGTTCACTGAACCACATGGTCAGTGGTTTTATCTTTTAAGTCGGTCACAAATGGCACCCTATTCCCTATATATAGTGCACTACTTTTGACCAGAGCCCCATGGGGCATTGGGTACCATTTGATTTAGGACGTAGCCATGGTTGTTGTCCTCATACCTGACTGTCTTGCAGCTGTCCTGCTCTGACTCAGTCAACTGGAGAGACAGGCTGCTGCAGCAGTATCTCATGTCACACGTTCCACAGCACCACTGGAAACCACTGCAGTCCTGCTTGGATTTGTATTGGCCATAGGCATCTTTGTAGGCCTCACATTCACCACCAGCTGGGTGGAAAGGAGAAACACCATCATAGGTTTGAGTTGGACACAGCTTGGGAGAAAATACATGACTTGAAAGACAACAGCAATTAACATTGGCAGGTATACAACAAACACAGCAGAGTTAAATGAGGGAGTTTGATTAAGCTGACCCGCGGTGTACCGGGCTATGGCCCATGACGGTGAGGGAGGAGCAGTAATCTGTGCCCGCTCAGTCATATTGTCAACCAGGTAGCATGGAGCAAGAAACATACAGCGCCTTGCAAAAGTATTCATCCCCCTTGGCGTTTTTCCTATTTTGTTGCATTACAACCTGTAATTTAAATGGATTTTTATTTGGATTTCATGTAATGGACATACACAAATAGTCAAAATTGGTGAAGTGAAATGAAAAAATTCAAAATAAATAAAATAACGGAAAAGTGGTGCGTGCATATGTATTCACCCCCTTTGCTATGAAGCCCCTAAATAAGATCTGGTGCAACCAATTACCTTCAGAAGTCACATAATTAGTTAAATAAAGTCCACCTGTGTGCAATCTAAGTGTCACATGATCTCAGTATATATACACCTGTTCTGAAAGGCCCCAGAGTCTGCAACACCACTAAGCAAGGGGCACCACCAAGCAAGCGGCACCATGAAGACCAAGGAGCTCTCCAAACAGGTCAGGGACAAAGTTGTGGAGAAGTACAGATCAGGGTTGGGTTATAAAAGGAGCTTCAAAGCTCCACAGCGGAGATTGGAGTATCTGTCCACAGGACCACTTTAAGCCGTACACTCCACAGAGCTGGGCTTTACGGAAGAATGGCCAGAAAAAAGCCATTGCTTAAAGAAAGAAATAAGCAAACACTTTTGGCGTTCACCAAAAGGCATGTGGGAGACTCCCCAAACATATGGAAGAAGGTACTCTGGTCAGATGAGACTAAAATTGAGCTTTTTAGCCATCAAGGAAAACGCTATGTCTGGTGCAAACACAACACCTCTCATCACCCCGAGAACACCATCCTCACAGTGAAGCATGGTGGTGGCAGCATCATGCTGTGGGGATGTTTTCCATCGGCAGGGACTGGGAAACTGGTCAGAATTGAAGGAATGATGGATGGCACTAAATACAGGGAAATACTTGAGGGAAAGCTGTTTGTCTTCCAGAGATTTGAGACTGGGACGGAGGTTCACCTTCCAGCAGGGCAATGACCCTAAGCATACTGCTAAAGCAACACTCTAGTGGTTTAAGGGGAAACATTTAAATGTCTTGGAATGGCCTAGTCAAAGCCCAGACCTCAATCCAATTGAGAATCTGTGGTATGACTTAAAGATTGCTGTACACCAGCGGAACCCATCCAACTTGAAGGAGCTGGAGCCGTTTTGCCTTGAAGAATGGGCAAAAATCCCAGTGGCTAGATGTGCCAAGCTTATAGAGACATACCCCAAGAGACTTGCAGCTGTAATTGCTGCAAAACGTGCCTCTACAAAGTATTGACTTTGAGGGGGTGAATAGTTATGTACGCTCAACTTCTGTTTTTTTGTCTTATTTCTTGTTTGTTTCACAAGAAAAAATATTTTGCATATTCAAAGTGGTAGGCATGTTGTGTAAATCAAATGATCCAAACCCCACAAAAAATGCATTTTATTTCCAGGTTGTAAGGAAACAAAATAGGAAAAATACCAAGGGGGGTGAATACTTTCGCATGCCACTGTATATCTCTTTTCATAAAATATATGTTTCAAACTAGTTTTCATCGGGAAGGCAGATAAGTGTTTTTATCCAAAGCAATCTCTTTAGCATGTGAAAACACAGAATCCTACTCATTACTCCGTGTGCTTAACCTATGTAAAAAATAAATAATAAATGGAGCCGACTTCGCCGTCTGCCAGAGCGGGGCACCTGGCTCGCGCAGATAATTGAACCCCCTCATTGTTTTTTTAACCCTTATTTTACCAGGTCAGTTGACTGAGAACACATTCTCATTTACAGCAACGACCTGGGGAATAGTTACCGGGGAAAGGAGGGGGGGATGAATGAGCCAATTGGAAGCTGGGGATGATTAGGTGGCCATGATGGTATGAGGGCCAGATTGGGAATTTAGCCAGGACACCGGGGTTATCACCCCTACTCTTACGATAAGTGCCATGGGATCTTTTAGTGACCACAGAGAGTCAGGACACCCGTTTAACGTCCACTCCGAAAGACGTCACCCTACACAGGGCAATGTCCCCAATCACTGCCCTGGGGCATTGGGATCTTTTTTTAGACCAGAGAAAATAGTGCCTCCTACTGGCCCTCCAACACCACTTCCAGCAGCATCTGGTCTCCAATCCAGGGACCGACCAGGACCAACCCTGCTTTGCTTCAGAGGCCAGCCAGCAGTGGGATGCAGGGTGGTGTGCTGCTGGAGTGGGTGATGATGGTAGCCTAACCACACAGGGCTGCTTGTGGATTTGACAGCTCTAATGCCGTGTTCAAAACAACAGGGAACTCGGAAATCTCTGACTTCTGACTTCAGTGCATTCAAGACAACTGGGAACTCTGTAAAAAAAAGGTAGCTCCGACTGGCAAAAATCGTTTTCAATGGTCATCCAACTCGGAATTCGCAGTCAGAAACTCGGGCGTCTTTCTAGAGCTCTGACTTTCCGACCTGAAGATCACTGACATGATTTCACCTCTCCCCCCCCCCCCCAGAGTTTTGAAAGCACCATAATGCCGTGATCAAAACAACTGGGAACTAGGACATTTCCGACTTCTGAGCGTTCAAGACAACTGGGAACTTCGGGGGGGGAAAAAACAACCGCTATGCAGATGTCGACTAAAGCGGATCTGATTTGAATTGGGCACATAAAGGTCAGAGACTATCTGGAGCCTAAAATGAGGTGTATGTTCATGCAGCTACCAGAAGATAACGTGAAGTCATGAGGTGGCAGGTCTGCCAGACAGACATCCTTGATTGCTTCCTCAAGATCTGGTTGATCGAATTACAGTGGCAGGTATGTGACTGACCTCTCACAATCAGGCACAGAGCAAATTATATAAATGGATCTCTCTCTGGCTAAATGCCCTCACAATACCGTATATTTCAAAATTCAACATTACAACCCAAGATGGGGTGAAACACTAGTCATGTCCCACCCCCATGTAATTTACGAGAACGTTACCTGTGACATCATGGAAGCAGATTTGTTTTTAACTTTAGCTAGTTACAACTAAGTTAACAGCAAACAGTTAAACTCCACGAGTCACACGACACATATTGCATGTTTAACGTCAATCCACTCAGAAATACACAAGTTCATTTCGTCACCCCGTAACTTCGGAGGCAGTGGATATTGCGAAATAAGAATGATATAGCAAACTAATTAGATCATACTGCATAACGACGTTACCAACGTTACATTCATTTTTGACAGTGACAGAACATAACCCTCATCTAGACCAAGGATGTACTAAATAAACCCTCTTGAGTTAAAAAGGCAGTCATATGAAAGAGTCATAAAAATTTAGTTACCAACAGACACTAAGTGGCGTTAGCAGCATGTTTGCCAGACTCGCCCCACCTGGAAGATGGAAGATGTCCTTTCACATTGCTAGCTAACTAACTAAATGTTAGACATGTAACGTTAGCTAGCTTTGGGGGGAAAAAAACATCAACAAACTCTTAGCTACAATATCACAGACTGATACGAACAATGTTTGTTAGTCACCGATTTCCAATTGACAAACTCACCGGTAACGAAGGGGATCAGAGTCCCACACAAAAGGAGAACAACAACGGACAGACTTTCCGCCATGGCTCGGTGTATTCAGATGCTAACAGCGCGACCCCCCCCAGTCCACAGCCCCCCCAATGCTATAGTTTCTTCTTCTATGGTATTATGGCGGTCCGCAAACAACGTTAGGAGGTGCATGCCGCCACCTACTGGATGGGGGGGAACTGATAAACTTCGACGCAAAATAATATGGATTAGGGAAATGTGAAAAAAATACACTTTTAATATAAAAAAATTCAACAAAACACAAAAACTACGACTGTACTCTTTCAGTCGGATTTAAATGTCTATTTAGATCTCTACACAGGCTCTGGAATCCGGGAGGGGGGAACCTTTTCATTCAGTATTCCCTGTAACATTTAGGCTGTAAAGTCCTGGAGATCCAGAAAACGTTTTGCCGCCTTCACAATGATGTCTACATTCTTTTACTTTTTTTATTAGTTTGACTTGTGTAATTCATCACTTGCCTTATAAACACAACAAAGTCCACCTTCTTCACTGTCAGTGTGTCGGGATCCTTCTTCTGAGCGGCATTCACTGCAGGCTGTGGGACATCCACTACCATTCAGTGGTGTGTTTTCATGGATGCCAAGGGAAGCCAGGTTTCCCCCAAAAAATGTAAGTTATATTTCGTCTCTGTTTACTGGCTCTGTGCCAAGCTCCTTAACAGTCATCCTATCTTTATCTGCTCTTCCTCAGGTGTTTCCTGTTCCTCCTGAAGACTTGTCCCCGTTCTGTCTTCACCTTTTTTTTTTTTTTTTTTTTTTTTTGTCATTTAGCAGACGCTCTTATCCAGAGCGACTTACAGGAGCAATTAGGGTTAAGTGCCTTGCTCAAGGGCACATCGACAGATTTTTCACCTAGTCGGCTCAGGGATTAGAACCAGCAACCTTTCGGTTACTGGCACAACGCTCTTACCCACTAAGCTACCTTCACCTCGTAGGACCTTTTCTCCACAGGTCTGACTACACTGCCACCAGTGTTTCTGTCCTGTGAGTGGCTGAACTCTCACCCTGTCATCTCGTTGCAGCTCTGTGAGATCCTTTAGCAGAGGTGTCGTAGTACTTTGCCTGTCTCTGCTGTCTTTCTTTTGAACTTCTCCTGCTGACAGTTTGTCATCGCCGGTCTCAGCAGATTTTCACTCATTGGCAGTTGTGTCTTTGTACGTCTTCCCGTGAGCGTCCATTGCATGGCTTCTGTCTGTTCCTCGAGATATTGTATTTTCTGTGAATCAGCATTTTCCAGGTAAGTGTCAGCACCTGCTCTCTTTGCTTTTGCCATAAGTCTTTTGGCTGTTTTCACTGCCGATTCCACTTTCCCATTACTTTGCGGGTATCCTGGAGATGTAGTTTTGTGTTTAAAGTCCCAGGCATTGCTGTAACTTCGGAACTCGTCTGAAGAGTACAGGATGTCAGGTATTCCTATGCGTGAGGAATGGATTCTCTGCATTATCTCTGACCTGAGGTGGCAGCAGGCACAATGACTCGCTCACCTCTGAAGATAACTCCATTTTGCACACTCAGCTCATCTCTGTTGTGAAACTACATGGGACATGTTCTTGCACTTCAGGGCCACCCCTGCAGGATCTCTCTGGATGGCCTTTAGTCACTCGCTTGACACAGGCAGGCAGTGTATCATGTTGATTGATTCCACCTCGACCTCCACAGGGCCTCTGTTCTCTTGTTCTGTGAGGTACGCCCTGCTCAGGGTGTCGGCCAGCACCACATGTTTTCCAGGAACGTATTCGGAGACTCTGACCTCATAGTTTTGGAGTCTCATGAGCATGTGTTGTAGTCTTTTTGTTCCGCTGAGGAGAGGCGTTTGTCACGATGCTCTCTAGAGGCTTGTGATCTGACTGCACTTCCACAGTTCGTCCATACAGTGCATTCAGAAAGTATTCAGACCCCTTGACTTTTTCCACATTTTGTTACGTTACAGCCTTATTCTAAAATGGATTAAACACAATACCCCATAATGACAAGGCAAAAACAGGTTTTTAGAACATTTTGCAAATGTATTACAAATAAAAAACTGAAATCACATTTGCATTAGTATTCAGACCCTTTACTCAATACTTTGTTGAACCACCTTTGGCAGAGATTACAGCCTAGAGTCTTCTTGGGTATGACGCTACAAGCTTGGCACACCTGTATTTGGGGAGTTTCTCTCATTCTTCTCTGCAGATCCTCTCAAGCTCTGTCAGGTTGGATGGGGAGTGTTGCTGCACAGCTATTTTCAGATCTCTCCAGAGATGTTTGATCGGGTTCAAGTCCGGGCTCTGGCTGGGCCACTCAAGGACATTCAGAGACTTGTCCCGAAGCCACTCCTGCGTAGTCTTGGCTGTGTGCTTAGGGTCGTTGTCCTGTTGGAAGGTGAACCTTTGCCCCAGTCTGAGGTCCTGAGCGCTCTTCAGCAGGTTTTCATCAAGGATCTCTCTGTACTTTGCTCCGTTCATCTTTCCCTCAATCCTGACTAGTCTCCCTGTCCCTGCCGCTGAAAAACATCCCCACAGCATGATGCTGCCACCACCATGCTTCACCGTAGGGATGATGCCAGGTTTCCTCCAGATGTGACGCTTGGCATTCAGGCCAAAGAGTTCAATCTTGGTTTCATCAGACCAGAGAATCTTGTTTCTCATGGTCTGAGAGTCCTTTAGGTTCCTTTTGTCAAACTCCAAGCGGGCTGTCATGTGCCTTTTACTGAGGAGTGGCTTCCGTCTGGCCACTCTACCATGAAGACCTGATTGGTGGAGTGCTGCAGAGATGGTTGTCCTTCTGGAAGGTTCTCCCATCTCCACAGAAGAACTCATGAGCTCTGTCAGAGTGACCATCGGGATCTTGGTCACCTCCCTGACCAAGGCCCTTCTCCCCCGGGCGGCCAGCTCTAGGAAGAGTCTTAGTTTAGTCTTATCTTGATTATTGTCCAGTCGTGAGGTCGAGTGCTGCAAAGAAAGACCTAGTTGAGCTGCAGCTGGCCTAGAACAGAGCGGCACGTCTTGCTCTTCATTGTAATCAGAGGGCTGATATAAATACTATGCATGCCAGTCTCTCTTCGCTAAGAGTTGAGGAGAGACTGACTGCATCACTTCTTTTTTACAAGAAACATTAATGTGTTGAAAATTCCAAATTGTTTGCATAGTCAACTTACACACAGCTCTGACACACACACTTGCCCCACCAGACATGCCACCAGGGGTCTTTTCACAGTCCCCAAATCCAGAACAAATTCAAGAAAGCGTACAGTATTACATAGAGCCATTATTGCATGGAACTCCGTTCCATCTCATATGAACAGCAAACCTGGTTTGTAAAAAATACTACTAGAATTAGCAGGGAGCTGATGTGACCGTTACAATTAGAGCATGTGATAGATTAATTTGTGTATTAAGAATAATGACTAAAGGATTTCACCCCAAATACAGTAGAAATGTGTATACAATATTCGAATTATCATGTAGTGTCAACCCACTAACAGAGGGGGTACTAAACATTCAAGGGTAAAGGAGAAGGCGGAAACTGTTTAAAAAATCCCACCTAAAGGTGGGAGGAGCATAGTGCCTTTGTTTGTCAAGGGGTATAAAAACAGTATGTATGTGTTTTTGAAGGCAGAGCTCTCCATGAATAAATATACAGATAAATACTTGTGGGTTGTGGACCTTGAATCAATGATGATTAAAACCAGAGCCTTACAACCTCTGGTAATGATTCAAGCTTAGGTTGAATTAGAGATAGAAATTCACATGACAGATTGGTCCTTCTGAGCGGAGCTTAATACATCTTTATCGTTCTGAAGACACCGAAACCCGTGCACGGGCGGGTGATAGCATCCGTGAAAGAGTCCTGGCCTTCGACGTTAAGGTTATAAACAGGCCGGTGATTACTCTTTATGAACGATAAAGACGTTAACGAGTTTGAAAAAGCATTTAAATCCAAACTGCAAGGAAAAGGTCAGTAATTTTATTCATGGATTTTGGTGAAATGATTTGAACTTGTATAAGAATAGGAATTCTTGTAAAGGGCAGACAGCTTACCAAAATCTCAAAGGAGGTAATAATTATTACGACTGGGGAGGGTCCGAAAATGACCCTAAGTAAATAGCTATTACAAAAATAAACTAGTCCGAAATGACATGGAGTGAATTGCAATCCCAAATGAAAACTAGTTAATATTGTCATTGTACGAATTGCAGTGTAACAGTATAAACAGGGAGATAATTATCATCGTGTGAGATAGATGAGTCGGGAGTAGCGTATACGACTGGGGATTTGCTAGAACTTTGCAAATAAGTTTAGCAAATGATTGTATAAGGTCGTATATGTGTGAGACTTAATCCATCGGGAGACGTGATAATTATTTCAAGGAAGGAGCAAAAAATAAGTCGCGTGAGAAAAAATGGTTATCTAACTCTTTTCATGAAACCGGAGTTTTAAATAAAAGCTCTGGGTTAGGGGTTAAATAATTTTAAATGGTTAATTACAAAAGCAGATCATACATTGGCTCAAGAGACGCACTAAAATAATAGCTCCTAGAAGAATAATTCTGGGAATTATTACTAAAGGGGGGATTTTTATTTTTCCACCATGGGAAATAAAACTTCTAAAGAGATCGAAGAAATATGGTTTATGGATCCATTTGGGAGAAGAGGTATGAATTTATTGGGCATCTCGAAGTAAAAAAGTTAGTAGGCAGATGCATATAAAATGAATTTGAAAAAACAGCGAAAGGAGGGGCTAGAGACAGCGAGTGTTTTTTTTTAAGCGCGAAAGTGCTTTAACAGTAACAAAGGAAAATGTTTGAAAAAATGATTAGTGTCAATTAAGAATTGGCTAAAAACACCACAAAGCGATTATTTGAGAGGTACCTATAAAGTCCAACGATGCATATGTATGAACTTTTGCACTCAAACGTAGACGTACGTCATGAGTGAGAAAGTAGAGAATATTTACATTTGCATTTTTGGTCATTTGGCAGACGCTCTGGTCCGGAGCGACTTGCAGAACCAATAGAGGGTTGCATTGAACTATTCTGTTGTGTTGGGCATTTGAATGGCATAAGGTGAAATATGTGTGTATGAGGGAATTCAA